TTTGAAGTCGACAAACGACCGTACCAATTCGGCCACGGACATCTGGATGTTGTGCACTGACGTATCATTTGGCTCTATGGGCATAGCATTATGACAGAAAAAAATCCTAAGTTGTGCTTAACAATTTACTATGTACGCACCTCGATTCATTTTGAATGTTCTTTCATATTCCATGTGTTAAAACAATTAATTCGTAAAATATTTCTTCATACGATATTATCATATACAAATTATTATGTATAGTTCAGTACAGACAAACCCCTATATCGCAGCCAACGTTTTGAAAATATAAAAAAGACATCTAAATCTACGTTCTTTGCATTTTACTTCTATTCAATATTGAGACATCGTTTACACATTTCACATTTTGCTTACAATAAAAGTTACACTACAAAAAATTATCGTGACGGCTTTTTACACGCACTTTTTTAACAGTTATTTTCTAGATGGTCTTTTCGGTAGAGGTTTTACAGTATTTCGATACACTCGGACTGGTTTATTAATATATACAGAATATGAAATTACTCTGCCAAACTGTAAGTCAGAATGTCAGTTATATATTATTAGGGGGACGTGTTTGTAATAATCATTCTATTCACGGTGTTATATTGTACTGTATAATCTGTCATAAACGAAGATGGCTGTCATTTATACATTTCAGTTTCGTTCATCACCACCACGCGAGATGAAATATGTAATAATACACATTTTTACACTTATTTCACCTATAAGAAATAGTTTTATACCCGTCCTTTCTTTTCGTTGTTTCTTTTTTTTCTCCTCCGTTTTTTCGTTATTTTAACGTGTTAAACTAGGGGCAAACGACGAGGTATAAAAAGCGATCCAATCACATCTTCTCGGCCCTTTCCGTAAAACTTTGGATAGGTTATTATTGGTGAAAGCAGAGATGTTCCAATTGATAACGATCAACACATTAAAAATTAATTCGGATTAATTTGATTTCTACGGATAAGTTTAAAATGTCGTCATCCCGAAACCAAGTGCATATGCACCGGCCATGTAAAAAAAAACAGGGTCCAGATAATAAGAACTAACTAAAAAAGAGATAATGCCTTTTTCCTTTTATAAAAGATTCATTTTAGTTAGAGAACCGTTGTGTTCTTTTTAATAGACGTATTTATAGTCTAATTCCGATGATGCATTAGTACGCAGTTATGGAATCCTATACTATTTTAGAAAATCGTTCTTTACCTATCACAATATATTTACCCTCAACTTTCACTTTATTACATCCGAAGTTTGGCGGAAAAGACCGAAAAGTTGCGATTGGTTTCTCAGTGAAAATGAGTAATTTCCGTAATTTAACGATCATAAATCACAAAAAAATCATATTGGCTAAATTAAACAGCATTATCTAACAAATGTCAGATTTAATGGTTAAGTCATTGAAAATCATCATTTGAAGCGCAAAGTGCAACAGTCAAATCAAGAAATTAAAAAATCGAAATTGTAATTAAGCGGAAAGGTCTCCAATAAAATGCTGACATTTTTATCATAGGTTCAAAAGCTTAACTATCAATTTGGAAATGGCTCTGGATCCTGTAATTTGTCAAGGAACACATAAAATTCTTGTATGATATTTGTAAAACGTGTATAATAACTAATAAACGTATTTCATTAGTTGCATTAATGAAATTCAAAATATTTTCGATTTAAAACGTAACTAATGCTAATTAAGAGGCCATTAAACGGATTTCTGAAGGTCACACTTGTTATGTCAAATGTTGATATTTTTAGATAAAGGTTAATTTTATTTGTAGCTTATATCATTGCAACAAACTGTGTTCAGCAGCAAATGTCAATGTTTGTAAGCTTTGTATCCGGCTACGAGAGATATCCGAGTACTGTGCAAGAAAGAAAATTTTCAAAATGTTTTCTGTTTTTGTCGTTGTTGTTTTGTCGTTGTCCTTTTTTTTCTACCAGCCTATTATTTTTGTTGTGATCGTAATAGAAGGTTATTAATATTTATAAACAACCTGTTATATTCATTGATCTATACGCACATTCATCACACCCACGTGCTTTTAAAAAGAACAACATCAGCCATATAAATGCATGAGCACAATACATGTGTAAGCCTCTCTAATTTGTCGAATCAGGCCACTCATTCCTCGTGTTATCGTGCCAGCTTACCATATACTTAAATAATACCAGCAGAAAGTCTCTGCAATCAAAGACAATAAACATGTCCCGTGAAGATTCTTTTTTTTCGAAGAACCTGAATAATCGACTAAATCTATGTACACCAATATAATAAATAATTCAAAACGATCGCCATAAAGGAAGTTTTCTTAATTAAACAGGCAGGTATATGCATCGATTAAGCATTTTCTAAACGTCATCAGGTTCCGCTCTGGCTCAATATATTGAATTGATTCCAGACAGTCTTCTAAGGTTCTGATTTTAATTGTGCAAATATCGCTTTTCGTTGTTTTTTATTCCTTGGCACTCGTTTAAACAGGAAGTTGCTCAAAGCGTTCTGTTACAATCCGGGTCATTTGTTTCGATCGCGGGATTATGGAGTTTGAATGAAAAGTTATGATTCTTGGATAACAGTTGTTGTTTTTTTATTTTGCAAATCGAAAATTCGTTTGTTCTAGGTTGAATTAAATCATATAATTCAAAATTGTCAAACTGGTTTTGATAAGCTACTAAAATGTGTTATTGTCAAAGTGTTAATTATCGACAATATTCAGGAATTTACTAATTTGATGAATTGTTAGCAGATACAAATTAAATTATGACGCACTTTTATCTTAATTACGGCAGGTGGTAACTTATAGGATATTGAACTCTACGTTGTTGTTAATGAGGAAAGAAGACTATATTTATGACATAACTGATTGTTGTAAAAAAATAAGCTTTTGTGTGTACGTCCATTAACGTCATTATCATTTAAATCTATTATACTTTTTGAAGAATTGGTTCATATTTAAATAATGTGAAAAATATTCTTTCTAAAACATGAACTGCGACCTTGAAAACATGAACTCTGACCTTGAAATCATGAACTCTGACCTTGAAAACATGGAAACTGGGTTTAGTGAAGTTACAGACGAAGACTTAAATGAACTAAATGAAAAGAACGATTCACATGTCAAAAATGAAAAAGCTGATGTTGGCAATGAACAGCCGGATATTGGTGAAATGTCAGATGGGTTTGAGCCTGACACAGCTGATGTTTCAAACGTTGAAGAGAGATCGGTAGTAATGAATAACAACTTTATTCTACCAATGGTAATTAAATGTAGTTTGTATGTTATTACAATGATTTAATTGCGTCACCTTGACGTTTGTTCTGTTTTAACCTTTAGTCTCGCTTATGATTCAAAATTGTATTTACATATTATATCTATATGTTTGAATGAATAAGATACAATGTATAGAAATGATTTATATGTGAAGCTAAAAGGAGAGTTCTAAGAAGAAAATTGACGTCATGCATGTATTGAAGTATATAATATAAATCACTTGCATAACATGACATGTGGTGCAAATTTTGCAAAATGAAGTATGCAAATTAGTTGAAACCTTCATCTATGAAACCAAATTAATTTCGATTTTAGATTTATATTTTCCGATTGAAATGCAGCCTTTGCTATTTGATTAAAACTATGCAACATTTAGAAAAACTGGAATGTTTTAATTAATAAATATAATTTTTTTTTTCAAACATTTATTTATTGTAGGAAGTGTTCGATCAATTCAGTGATTGTTTATTGTGATTTATACCACGCCGGCAGCAGACTTAATTTTATAACCAGTTAACATTCGAAGCACAATTAACCTTTAACATTTTATTTCACTATAAATATGTGTATGACAGGGAATATTTGAAGCATTTGTAACCATTACAAATCGATTTGTTTTAATGTATAGACCCAGTATGAATATACAAATCACCTTTAATTATGCATGCGTAATTTAGAGTTGGAACATGTTCTTAATTTTAACCATCAGGATGCGCTCTTTTCAAACCGCAAAAAATGATGATTATTCTTATTTTCGTTATTATTATGATTATTAATGATGACATTCTCTTTAACAAAACTTTAAGCCGTCTAACGCCGCGTAAAGTTAACATTAACCCTTACACCACCAAATATCTTAAATGGACTTGTCATATTTTTCCAATGAGAACAAAACCAATCATTTTAATATGAAGCATATATATTTCATATGAAAAAATATGGATGTGTCGGCATTGGTCACGTAAATAGAATTAGTTGCCGCCAGCAGATTAAGGGGTTAAATTGTGACATAAGACAATAAGATACAGTTGTGATATATATTCATCAATTTCGGATCATATTCTGTTTCATTTATTTAAACGTTCTTTATAACAGTTTCTAACGTACACAAAAATTAGTTTTGGTGCTAAGAAATCATTATGAATTGTTTCAATATCTTGCGTTTTATAAGGAAAGAGAAAAACCACCACTTTATTTGTCTCAAGTATTAAAGAGATTAAATGTGAGAAAGATATCGGGCAACGAAATGTCGATGTTTCAATTTGCATGCCTATTTGTGCCGAAATTAATTAACGAGGACTGGTATCTATGGAAGCACTGGAGGGCCCTTTTGACTTCTGACTTAATGACTTTTGACTATTGACTTGGGAGTTATGATTTGTGACTTCTAAGTTGTGACTTGTAATTTGTGATGATGCATTGCCGCTCATTTTAAGCCAGGAGATGCAACATGGCGGACAGCGATTTGTCAGATGATGTAAGTTTTTATAATTTGCTTGTATATTCTTCTTAAATAATGTAATTTAGCGATGTTATACATATCCATCACTAATCGAGCAATACAATTTGGACGGTCTGTGTATTTTTGTTCACTGAGATCTAGATGCGTTAACACTCTCCCTCAATGTGAGAAAAGTGACTCATGTCAAGCCTCAAGGGGGAACCGGGTCTAACTTCCATCAATCAAACAATCTATACTTAAGATTTAAACTTGCAGATAAGCTCGAGTTATCAAAATATATGCCTAATCAGTTATTGGCTTCTTGTTAAGATTGAATTATTACAAAATGCATTTTATAAAATGATGATACTATGATAAGTGTTTATACAAGAATCGTTGTAATTATTCTATACAGTCAAGTATATATATATATATACATAATTATTCTGACCACTATATATACATGTACATAGAAAAGGTTGTCGGAATGATCGATTTCGTTTAGTGTATTAATACCATTCACAAAACTAAAATACAAGGAAACACTCTTCTTTAAATGACTGATTATGCATAAAATACAATTACACACCAATTTTATTCATCAGTTCTTTCCATGTATATGAGAATTAGATTTATCACTGGATTCGGGTTGGTCAAACACATTCGACGTTCCCATATTTATAGTTTACTGTACATTACGGGAACAAAATGTCTCATCAGATGAAAAAAAACGGCATATTATATTTGAAAGCCAGAACTAGACCCAGGAGGCCATAAGTGGCTCAAAAACACTTTGGTTCAGCTAGTTAGTTGATAAGCTAGACCTTGTCAGAAATCAAAATAAAAAAAGCAAACTTTGCTATCAGTAATACTATACAGAATATCGTTAGGGCCATAGGAACGTTATAATCCAGAGGGCGACAATGTGATAGTGCGACAACGCAATGGCGATAGTACGAGATTACAGTGACGATAGTACGATAGTGCGATGATGACAACGCGACAATGCAATGGCGACAATGCGATGACGACAGTACGACAATGCGACAGTGCGATAATGCGATGGCGACAATGCGATAGTACGATTACAATAATGTGAAAGTCTATAGCATTGTCGTGTTATCGCGTTGTCGTCATCGTACTATCACCATCGTGTTGTCGCACTATCACATTGTCGCCCTCTGGAATATAATGTACAACCACGATGGCCCTAACGGTATTTCGTAATACTGTGCTTTTCGCTTCATAGATTCATTGAATTTAAGCTTACTTGAAAGAAGAATTAACTTTGATAAAGTAAGTCCTTCTTAACTAAAGTGATTCAGTTTTTAATTGTGCTTAGGCCAAATCAAAACATATGTTGGTTTGTAGTGCCCGCTACCTTCCCATCTTCAACTCATTTAGGTCATCGACTTGATTTTGTTTTATTTTCCGATATATATCCTGTTCTCCCATAATTACCCTCCCTTAATAAGAACATGCCATTTGTAATAACGATTAGTAACGGAATAAATTTGCTATGTTTTATTAAAACAACTAAACCATGTGTAATCTGATTATCTCATGACAGTATACTTTGTGTCGTTAATGGTTAGTATTAGAAAATTGTAATTCTGAAAATTCAATTAATTGAGAATGTTTGAATGAAGTACACAAAATCACAAAATACTATCTCTTGTGCAACAGTGATTAAATAATATTATTAAAACACCAGGTAAGCAATGTTGATAAAATGAAGCACAAAATGAAGCACCTTTCGAAATTTTATCTTTTTGTAATTTACAGGACATACATAGGAAACAACGTATAAAGGAAGTCATAGACAACATTAAAAATAGAAAGGCAAAGAAGAAAAAAACAGCCCCCTGGCAACTACTAGTTCGCTGCTCCGAGAAATGGAACAAACTTCTACTTCAATTGTTTATTGTTAGATAAAAGTTCTTTTTTAAATCAATATTATAATAAATACTAACATTTTTAAAAAGATATTGTCATGTTGTGCTTTTAGATCACAATTGTGTTAATCGTCCTTGATTTTACATCCTGTAATTTATAGCTCGACTATTCGAAGAATAAGGAGAGCTTTCACCTCATTCGGGCGTCGGCGTTAGTTTAATGTTCTGTCCAATTTTTCATACTACATCAATTATGTTCCAAGTCCCTTAAGAAATCGCTTTGAAATTTTGCAGACTTGTTAACCACCATGACCCCAACCCCTAGACATGGATAGATAACTCTGTCAAGCATTTTGTTAAAATTGACTGCCTTGTCGACTAAAATGGTTTTCATTTAGAATAGTCGTATGTGCTGCCCTTGACGCTCTTATTGTAGTTTTTAATTCGCGTGAGCTTAAGTAGAAGCTTTGCTGAGAATGATATTGTTGTCATCTTGAGGAAAATATAACAAAAAGAACCACCTTCCGTGTGCTGGTGTCTCGTATCCAAAGCTGTGCTATGTCAAATTGTCAATCTTAAATTTGCTAGTGTAAAATAGGACTGAAGGAATAAGGACATAGTTTTGGTGCCTGACCTTGCGCTTTATACTAGGGCTAGAAAAGGTTTAGTTGTTTAATCCATTTTGAGGGCTTATTGCGAAACGGTTGTAACTTAAACTAGATAAAGAAGGAGATACAACTGTTTTGCACCAAGCCCTCGAATTATATTTTTAGTTGCATTTTATGATACACGTACAGCTTCATGGCGGTTGAATATCTGTTACTTTGCCAATCCCCAAACAAAATATTAATTCCATGCATTTGTAATAGAGGTCGATACGTAAAATGTCAAGACCACAAGTGTTTGAAGTCACTACTCACAAGTAGGAAGTCAAAAGTCACAAGTAAGAAGTCAAAAGTAAGAAGTCACAAGTAAGAAGTCAAAAGTCACAATAGGAAGTCTCTAGTCAGAAATACGAAGTCACAAGTCAGACCATTGCGCACGAAGTGTCATTGCAATATCGTTTAAAACGTCCTTAGCTTTACAAATGCGCATCCTGGAAATTCTTGAAGCTGACCTTGCCACGGATAACTACCTATTCGCCCTAATAAGAGCCAATGCTTCTATAAGCGCCCATCCCTTCTTTTCCATTTGTAAGTGGTTAAGCGCCCAGGATAAATTGTCTTTAAAGAAAAAAAATCAACTGACAACAATTAACATTTTAAATTTTTATGCATGTCCGCGGGCCTAGAAGATTTCACTATACAAGGAAAGACTGTCAATATTCACATTTGAAACCCATTGTAGTGATTTGTAAATAAACGGGACCACTTTAAATACGAGATATCAACAGAATTTGCATAGCTGTGACTCTTACATATTGTATACTTTTGTAAGACCTGACTCCTAATAAGCGCCCACCTTTCAAATTTTCTAAGCGCCATGGGCGATTACTAGGAAAAATACGGTAGTACTGGCTAGATATCCTGTGCAAGTTTCGTACTAGGGCGTTTGGTCTACAAAGATGAACGTGAGGCAGTGAATTTATTTTAATAGCCAGATTCTAATTAACTGAAAGTTAAGAATATAGGCCCTTGTAAGCCTGCACAC